CTTAGTGTACCAAGCTCTGGGTGCTTGTTTAAGGCCATAGATAGCCTTATTAAGTTTGCACACAAGTTCAGATTGATTGTTTGCTTCAAATCCTGGTGGCTGTTGCATATAAATGTCTTGCTCTAGTTCACCATGAAGAAAGGCATTATTGACATCTAGTTGTCTGATTTTCCATCCAAAAGTAACAGCTAGAGAGAGGATTGTTCTAATGGTAACATGCTTGATAACAGGACTGAATGTTTCTTCAAAATCAATTCCTGCATTTTGAGTGTAGCCCTTGGCTACAAGTCTAGCTTTGTATCTAGCTAGACTCCCATCACAGTTCCTCTTTACTTTGTATACCCATTTGCAACCTATGATAGGCTTGTTAGGAGGAAGAGGGACTAGAGACCATGTATTGTTGTTCAAAAGAGAGTTATACTCACTGTGCATGGCTGTTTTCCAATTTTCTGAAGCTAAGGCTTCTTCAATGGTCAGAGGTTCTGTCTCCTCACTGAGACTGTGCACTAGAGATTTTGGTTTAAAGATACCTCTTTTTGCTCTAGTAACCATTGGATGCTGATTTCTGGGTGGTTCAGTTTCAATCTGAAGATCTACAACTAAAGGAACTGTGGTGTGACTTGAACCAGAAGTAGATAACCTCTTAGATGTAGATGAGTGAGAGTCTCTAGTGTGAGGTGTTGTTATGGCTGTCCTTTGAGAGGGAGTTGACATAGATTGCACAGGTATTGAAGAGTGTTCAGACTCTTGAGTGTCTTGTTGCACTTGAACTAAGGGAGGTCCCATAGTGGACTGAGGATAAGAACTCTTAAAGGGTTCTTTAGATTCCCTTTTGTGCAAGAAGGGAAACTGACTTTCATCAAATAAGACATGCCTACTGATAATAAATTTTCCAGAAGGAAGAAGGATTTTGAAACCTTTATATCCATCCTCATATCCAATAAAGGTTCCAGGGCATGATCTAAACTGCATTTTGTTTTTGTTTAGGTGTCTGATATAAGGGTAGGCTAGACATCCAAAAACCCTTAAGTTATTGTAGGCAGGTTTAGATTTAAAAAGAATCTCATGAGGAGACTGTCCTTCAAGAACTCTAGTGGGCAGTTTGTTGATGAGATACACAGAAGTTTTGAAAGCATCTACCCAATAAGTGTGAGGAACTCCAGACTGAGCAAGTAAGGACAATGCCATTTCAACAATATGTCTATTTTTCCTTTCCACTAGACCATTCTGTTGAGGAGTGTATGGGCATGAGTGCCTATGAATGATTCCATGAGCTTTGAGAAAAGGAGCAAAGGGTTGGAACTCTCCACCACCATCACTTTGTAGAGTTTTAATCTTGGCACTGAACTGGTTTTCAACCATGCTTTTAAACTGAGTGAATGCATGAAGAGCATCTGATTTGTTCTTAAGAAAATATATCCAGGTGAACCTGGAGTATTGATCCACAAAGCTAATATAGTATTTATGTCCTGTATATGAATGAATAGGAGAAGGCCCCCACAAGTCACAATGAACAAGTTCAAACACACAAGAATAAGTAGACTGAGATTCAGGAAATGGTAACTTGTGAATTTTTGACTTGCAACATGCATCACATATAGAAGGTGTCTCAATGTTGCTAACCTGCTCATTACAATTAGATAGAACTTGGTTCACCACAACAAGAGAGGGGTGTCCAAGTCTTTGATGCCATATACTATAGTTTGGCTTTTTGGAAAGCATAGAAACATAAGCATAAAGATTTCCTTTCTTACAAAAGGCTGAACTTGAGCTTGAAGAGTGACTGTTTTGAGACTTCTTGAAGCACTTCAGTCCATCAAACTGATAGAGGCCATCTTTAATTGTCCCTTGGAGTAGTACTTCCCCCGAGGCTTGATCCTTGACAAAACAAGACTGAGGGTGAAACTCAAAGTAAACAGAATTATCCAAGGCAAATTGTGAGACACTTATTAGATTCTTGGTTATATTAGGAACAAGCAGCAGATTTTTCAGGAGAAAGACTGATGAACTTGATTCAGAGTGCACATAAGAGGATCCAACATGAGTAATAGGCAGACCTGTTCCATTCCCCATATGCATTTTGTTGCTTCCTTGATATTCAGAGGCTGAGGATAGATTTCCCATTTCAAAGGTGACATGATTTGTAGCACCAGAATCTGGATAC